ATTTTATTAAATAGAAATAATACCTCCATTTTTAAAAAACCTATTGGTTTCTAATTAGGTGTTTGAAAATTTTATAGCAGTTTGGGGTTTGTTGTTGGTTTAAGCCTTAGATAAAAGAAGTTATATTTGTAAATATCACATAGAAACATGAAACATTTCCACATGTGGTGGTTAAAAATTGGGATGGATATCTCAGCTGCACAGAGATCTTCCCCGAGAAGCAAGGGGTCCCAGCCCAGGCTCCCCAGCCCAGATCCAGTGCCAGGAAGAGAAATCCTCATAACTTTTAGTTGTGAAAACCAGCGGAGATTGTGACTGAGTGATGTGGAAGGCTGCTAGGGAGTCCCAGGCATTCCTTTTAAAGGACCCATTCATAGATTTATTCATGGGTGAATCACTTACTCTGAGCTCCAGCACTGGGACAACAGCTCTAAAGGCTCCAGGGACATATGGGGAGGGACTGAATTGTCTGACTTCAGGGCAAGCACTGGGGCAGAGCAGTTTTCTCCCAGACAGAAGTGCTGCTGGCAAAAGCTATTGTTCCTTTGTTGAAACCTCCCACCATCCAGCCTGCACAGGCAGGCAGGTGCCTTATCTGAGTCTCTATCATCCTGGCTAACACCATTTTCCCCGCCCTGGTGATTTCCTGAGACCCCACATCACCCAACTTTGGGCCCACCTAAGCAACTACCAATGGCTTTTCCATGCAAATGGCCTGTCTTGACTCATGCTGCAGGTTTTCCTAAAATCTTTCAAAAGTTCACAAACCCCAAACTAGTAGCATCTGGTCTCAGTGTACCCCATACCTCTTGCTAAGCAGTCCCAAACCCAACATTAGTGGCAGCTGGCCTCACTTCACAGCTTAGCCTCTCTCAGGCACCTCCAAGTCCAGCACAATTGGCAACCATCTGCAGATCACTTTGTAGCTCATACCAAATGACTGTGCACAGGCAGCAGTGCACAGGCAGCTACTGACCTTGGCTGCATCAAAATCCCTCCCAAGAGGTCCTAGAACCAACACCCGTAGTGGCCAGCTTCAGACAACACAGGAGTACTCCGCAAACCACCTCCACAAACAACAAACCTGAAGGGCAGACTAGGTAGGCACTAGAGCCCTGCTAGAGCACATCCTGCTCTGTACAGTCAGCCCCTGCACAACAGCTTCTCCACTGTAGTCACAGCCAGTGCTCACAACCGATCCATCTGAGGGTCAGTCCCTCCCATTGACATGCCAACAGCAATCGAGGCTTAATTACAAGAAGACACACACAACCCACACAAGGGACCCACTTGGAGTACCCGGCTCAGGTGACCAGGAAGACTGAGCCACTAGGCCCCACAGGACACCTACTACAGAAGGCCAGTCCACTAAGATTGGGAGACACAGCGGCTCTACCTGTTACATAGAAACAAACAGGGAGGCAGCCAAAACGGAAAGACAAAGAAACATCCCAAATGAAAGAACAACAGAGCTCCAGAAAAGAACCAAACAAAATGGAGACGAGCAATCTACGAGACAGAGAAGAACCCAGTAATTACACTTCTGGGTATTTATCTGAAGAAATTCAAAACGTTAATTCAAAAGGACATGTGCATCTGTATGTTAATTGCAGCATTATTACACTAAGCAAGATATGGAAGCACCTAAGTGTCTGTCAATAAATGAAGACGTGGTGCACATATACAATGGAATATGTCAGCTGTAATTGAAACATTTTTAAATTATTTTAAAAAATATTGAGGCAGGAGAGTGATAATAATAGTAGTAGTAATAAGAAGAAGAAACATTATTAACACTAACTTTATATTAACCACTATCCAAAGCACTTTACATAAATTATCTTATCCTCACAACAACCCTGAGAAGCAGTGTGAGATGTAAGGGTGAGATCGACATCTTTCATGTGAAGGAGGAAGATGAAGAATCCCTTCATTATCTTAAGCAATGCAACTCTGGCCCACCTTGCAAACCTTACTGTAGCAAAATTAAGATAGATAACTGAACTCATTCTTTTTAGAAGACAATTTAGAGGTAATTTGTTATAACTGAACATGCCCTTTGACCTTCTCATCCTCACCTCCTTTCCACCCCTACACATGCCCCATGTTTTCCTTGAAAGAGGCTTTGGTAAATGTAAAGGGTTTTTTTTGTTTTTTTGTTTTTTTGTTTTTTTGTTTTTAATTCTGGTGAATTAGTACCCTTATAAATTGGCACCCTTGAAATAACTGCCTGTCTCACCACCACATTCAATTTGGAGGTAGATGCTGTTTGTAATCCATTTTACTGATGAGGAAACTGAGTGTCAGGCAAGTTGAGTAATATGCTATATTTTTTATTGCTGTGTAACAAATTACTACAACTTAGCATTTTAAAACAATGCACATTTATTATTCAGTTTCTGTGGGTCACAAGTCTGGCATAGCCTTGTTGGGTCCTCTACTCAGATTCTAAGAAGGCTACAATCAAGGTGTCAGCTGGGCTACATTCTAATCTGGACCTCTAGGTCCTCTTCCAAGCTCACATGGTTGTTGGCAGAATTTAGTTTCTTGCGTCTATGTGATAGGTGTCTCGTTTTCTTGCTAGCTGTAGGCTGGAAACTGCCTTTTGTTCAAGAGGTCATTGCCCCATGACCCTCTCCAGTGGCCCTCCCATAACATGTTAGCTTATTTTTACAAGGCCACCCTGAGGAGGGCAACAGACCCTCTTTTGAAGTGCTTACCTGGTTAGGTCTTGTGCACACAAGATAATCTTTCTTTTTATTAATTTAAAGTCAGCTGATTAGGAGCCTTAGTTACATCTGGGAAATCCCTTTTGCCATATAATGTAACATAATCACATGGTCGATATCTCATTATAGTCACAAATCCTACCCATACTCAAGGAGTGGAGATAACACAGGGTGGGTATCTTGTGGACCATCTTAGAATTCTGCTTGCCAACATGCACACTCACACATCAGCCAACTGGCAAAGCAGTGTTATCTATGAGCAAATCATGTACAAACTCATTAAGTTGCACTACCTCTCAAAAACTACCAATAAAATTTTAGAAATATTCCAAATACCTGACATTTGTGAATAATTCAACAATCAATACCATTAAAGTAAGTGTCGGCTATGTCAATACCTAAAAATGCACATATGTAAATAATGTTAAGGAACAAAAATGAGAATATAAAATAACATTATGTTAATATATGTATTAAACTATATGATATAAAACAGTTTACTTAAGTTCCTGGACGTTTCAAAAATGTATCTGTCATTTTTAAAGTATAATAATTTATAAAATGTTTACTATACAAAGTAGCAGATGACAAATGTTAAGTATTTGTGTTGACAGTGCTGTGGAAGTTCAGAGTAGGGAAGAATAATGTGGACTTGAGTTTCCCTTTAGTTGTAAGGTTAATTTTTTTTATGAGGTACTTTATCATAAATTTCGCCCTAGGACTAATTCCTTTTCTGTACCTTGTAATCTGCTCAGTGGCATCTGCTCAGTGTACATGATTGCACATCTTCTTGAAGAGGCCCAAGTCTTTTCAGATGTGGCTCATTCTCTTTTAAATGACCTTCTTTATAATAACTTTGGAAACTCAAAAATCTTAAGAATCATTGTAATAGCCCTCTTTCATCATAGGATAGGAAACGGTGTTGCTATGTATCTCTGTTAGTTGAAATTTTTTTTTACCAGTCAGTTCATCATTTTCAACTATTGCAGAGTAAATTAATGGGATTTTTTTCCCCTTCTGCTAGAGAGCTCCATTATTTATTCTATGTCTCTAGAATAAGTAAACATTTCAATTCTTTATGAATTAGTTCTTCTCTGAATAGAAGTTGTAGACTGAATAATGGTCCCCCCAAATATGTCCATGTCTTAATTCCTGGACCTGTGAATGTCATATGGTACAAAGGGCGTTGTATGAAAAGAGACTTTACAGATATGATTAAGGATCTTGAGATGAGGAAATTACTCAGAATTACTTGGGTGAAACTGATGTAATCAAAACAGTCCCCAGAAGAGGGATACAGGAGTCAGACATCCCATGATATAGACTGGTGCTTCTCAAATTGTCGACCCATAGAAGCAGCAGCATTACCTAGCAACTTGTTACAAATGCAGATTCTACAACTCTGCTGTAGACTTACTGAATTGGAAACTCTTGGGATGAAACCAAGCAATTCACATTTAACAGGCCCTCCAGGTGATTCTGATACATGTTAAAGTTTGAGAATCACTCATCTAGACTGTTTTGCTCTCCCTGGTAGAACAGGGTTGAGGCAAAAATGCTAGGAAAGCTCCTCTATTGGCCTGTCAAAGGTGATTTGCAACTGCTTCCTCTGCCTGAGTTTTATTAGACTATAATCATTTGAACAGCTTAATTGAAAAATCGCTTATGTTTATAGCTGAAATTAAATATGTTTTGTATTTAAATAACTGCTTTTGTTTAGAATCCTATTTTGTTGAAAGTGGTTGGTTTTATCTCTATGCTGTAAAGATATTAATAAAAATTCATCAAATTTCTAGCGCTAACTAACATCCTATTTAGCATAAGGTGAAATGTTTTACATCAAATCTCATGCTGTGTAATGGCCAATCAAAGGATATTTCAAAGAGTTTTTAAGGTGGTTAAGTGGATTTCTTGGCTTAGAAATTCAAAATTAAACATTTTAAGACATTAACATTTAATGCTTTTGCCTTGTCTCAAAGTTGATTTTATGTAACACTCATTATTGGAAACTCCTGAAATCTTGCTTAAGCAACAAGTAACAACATTTTCTTTTTCTCATCCTTACAGAATTACTGAAATCTAGATTGTTTGAAAACAGATTTAGCTTTGTGGCACATGTCTGTTTAGCTGTGTAAATACTATCATTTATTATTTAAGACAAAACAACAGCTCTGTTTCAGTAAAAATATATAATTGATTTCTGAAAAGCCAAACGAAAGAACTCATTTCATTATGCTCTTATTTGACAAGTGATCTTGTGGTTCCTTTTAGGCAACCAATAGGAAAAGTACTCTCCGGTCTTCATCTATGGAACTGGATGGTTCCTACTTGAGTGTAGCCAAACCACAAACCTACTCTCAAACCAAGCAAAGGCCTAAGTCTGCAAACCAGGACTCAGCTTCAGAATCTCTTGTGGAGTTCAGGAATAATTCTTTGAAACCAGCAGCCCTTCATTATCCCAAAGAGAACCTAGAGAGAGTGACATCAGAGACCAGAACATGTAATTATGGATTCCCAGGGAAAAAAATAGTAGATACAGTCCCTACAGAGAAAGTTCCACCAGAGGAAATGAAGATGAGGGAATGCCAGCACCTTAAGCCTACTACATCTAGTCTGTGTTGTGGTCGTAGACCTTCTGAAAATGCAGATCATGTTCATGTTAGCCATCCTACAGATGTGGCACCTCAATATTCCAAGACACATCCGGAATCATGCCGTTATTGTGGGCTTTCCTGGGCATCTCTGATGCATGGCCAAGGGGTACTGCAGCCTAGTGAAACTGATTTCAAAAAGCAACTTTCAGAAGATAGAAGGCAGCAACTTATGCTTCAAAAAATGGAGCTGGAAATCGAGAAGGAGCGCCTTCAGCACCTGCTAGCCCAGCAGGAGACAAAGCTTCTCCTAAAACAGCAGCAGCTTCATCAGTCTCGACTAGATTACAGTTGGTGAGTCCTTCCTGTTCTTTCAGCAATGTCTGTAGCTTGAAGAACACAGTATAAAATGAACACAATATAAACTGCTGTTACTATAAAAATGTATGGGAACAGAAGTTCCTCGTGATCTAGGCTTGTTCACGATACATACCAATTATGGCTACTAAGTAAACTCCACTGTCATCTCTGGAAGACTTGAAAGATTACCTTCTTCTAAAATGTTAGCTTAGAATATTTACTTAGCAATCCAGTGTAATTTTTGCTGGATTCCAAAGACAGTATTTTTAGATGATATTACCATTACATTGTAGAGAATATTATCCATTAAGTAAAAGCTTGAGATTTCAGGATGTGGAATTAGATTGTAAAGAAGTGTGATTAGCTATCATTATTCCATATTTATGTCTATCCACCATAATATAAAATACAATAAATGATGGGCTCTTTCTAAATTCAACCTTTTCCTGTTCAATAGCCAATTCTTATAGACTTAACCACACTTAAACTGTTCTTTCCTTAACAATTCATCTCTAAGAACAGTGTTTCAAAAGCTAAATTGCTATTTTGGTCTTATATAGTTTAGCATAATTTTACATGCAGAGTCGTAAAATTTGCTGACTTAATTTTTTCAAGCAAAATTAGTAATAAATCAGTTATATTTGAAGCACAATAAAATATGCCAGTTATATCTTTTAAAAATTTCAAGTTTTCATATGTATTTCATACATGTATACACACACATATATATATCTACACACACACACACACACACACACACACACATCCCTGCCACATCCTCCGTGGTCAGACATACCATTTCCACTTTGTACAAATTCTTATTAGACACATACATCCTATACAGACACACTTAGGACTAGTATTTTTTTTCTTTTCCTTTGAGTTAATGGTCTTTCATTACTGATTCTGCCTAATATTTTTTAGATTCTAAGTTTTTTTAAAGTCCCATCTTCACATTTTTCCTTAAGTATAATACAGTAGTTCTCACTTATCTTCAGTTCCACTTTCCTCAGTTTTAGTTACCTACGGTCAATCATAGTCCAACAATATCAAATGGAAAATTCCAGAAAAAAAAATTCCTAAGTTTTAAATTGCACACTGTTGTTAGTAGTATGATGAAATCTTTCGCCATCTTACTCCTTCCCACTCCAGATGTGAATCATCCATTCCTCTGGTGTATCCACACTGTATATACTCCCTGTTATTAGTCACATAGTAGCCTTCTCAGCTATCCAGTCTACTCTCACAGTATCACAGTGCTTATGTTCAAATAACCCTTAATAATTTTACTTAGCAGTGGCCACAAAGCACAAGTGTAGTGATGCTGGCAATTTTGATATGCCAAAGAGAAGCCAAAAGTGCTGCCTTCAAGTGATAAGTTATGTATGTATAGGAAAAAAATAATATATATAGGTTTTAGTACTAGCCATGGTTTTAGGCATCCACTGGGGGGTCTTGGAAGTATCTGCCATGGATAAGGGGAAGAGGGACTACTGTACTTAGACTTCTTGGAATCAAAAGTGGTCTTTCTCTATGATCAGATAGTTCTATTCTTCATTGTTGAAATCTGGAGGCTTTTTAAGTAAGTAAAAATGAAGCCTCTTCAAGATTGTCACCAAAGTCTGAAATATTGCTTCAATTTTATGACACCAAATGCTGATTCTCCAATAAATGTGTAGTCTCTCATGAGAACTTCATTCAACAAATATTTATTGAATGGCTATGATATGTGAGAAATGGTTCTAGGTACTTGGGATAGAAAAATGAATCAAACGTGGTCTTTAAAGAAGGCACAGTCTAGCAGGAGAGAATAGATAAGTTTAGAATAGGCATCATGTTCATTTGAACATCTTTGTCTATTCAAACAATGCTGCATAATAATAATAAATTCTTCATTGTTCTCTTGATCATCCTACCTTAGATGAGAGAGCTATGAAACACAGTGTTTGAGCAAGTTTTATGTATGTATAAATTGCAAAAATGTACACACACACACACACACACACACACATATATATATATATTCTGTAGAGATTTTTATAAACTTTTTATTTTGAAATAATTATAGATTAACAGGACATTGCAAAAATATACAGAGGGGGCCCATGTACCCGTCACCCAGTTTTCCCCAATGGCTACTTATTACATAGCTATAATACACTATCAAAACTAGTAAACTGGTACAATGTGTGTATAGTTCTGTCATTTTATCGCATGTAGATTTGTGTAACCACCACCACAACCCAAATACAGAACCAAGATTTCCTTTGTACTACCTCATTAGAGGTGCCCCACCCACTTCTGTCACCACCATTTCTAATTTCTGGAAACTGCTAATCTGTCATCTATTTCTAAAGTTTTATCATTTTGAGAATGTTATATAAATGGAATTATATAGTACATGAACTTTTGATTTTTTTTTTTTCACTCAGTATAATGCACTAAAGAGCCATCTAGGTTGTTGCATACATAGTACCTTTTGATTGCTGAGTAGTATTCCATGATATGGTTTGAGAATGATTTGTTTAAGCTTTCATCTATTGAAGGACAATATGGTTGTTTCCCATTTTGTCACAAATAGAGCTGCTATGTACATTCTTATACCAGTTTTGTGTGAACTAAGGTTTTCATTTCCACACATGAAAGCTAGGAGTATGGTTGCTAGACCGTATGTTAAGTGTATATTGAGTTTCCTGAAACACAGTATACATTTAGCTTATAATCAGTTTATAATACCTTCCCACAAGCAATATATAAGAGATCATTTCTCCACATCCTTGCTGGCATTTGGTATTGTCACAAATTTTTATTTTACTGTTCGAATATGTGCATAGTGATATTTCATTGTGGTCTTAATTTGCATTTCTGAGTTGTGTCCTCTTTTATTTCTGATTTTATTTATTTGAGTCTTTTCTTCTTAGTTTTGCTAAAAGTTTGTCTATTTTGTTTATCTTTTCAAAAAAACCAGCTCTTAGATCTTTTCTATTGGTTTTCTATTCCATTTATTTCTGCTCTGATCATTGTTATTTTTCTTTCTGCTAACTTTGAGCATAGTTTATTCTTTTTCTAGATTTTTAAAGTGTAAAATTAGAGTTTTTTTGAGATCCTTCTTTTTTATCTTTTTTCTTAATGTAGACATTTATTGCTTTAAACTTCCTCTTAGAACTGCTTTTGCTGCATCCTATAAGTTTTGGTATGTTGCATTTCTATTTTTATTTGTTTCAAGGTCTGTTTTTGTTTCCCTTTTGATTTATTCTTTGATTCATTGGTTGTCCAGGAGTGCACTGTTTAATATGCACTTATTTATAAAATTTTTCAGTTTTCCTCCTGTTATTGATTTCCAGTTAGATACCATTGTGGTTGGAAAAGAATACTTGGTATGATTTCTGTCTTCTCAAATTTATAATAATTGTTTTTTGACCCAACATGATCTCTCTGGAAAATATTCTTTTTATACCTGAGAAGAATATTTATTCTGTCCCTGCTGGATGGAATGCCTATATATGTCTGTTAGGTCTAAAGTATAGCTCAAGTCCAATGTTTCTTTAATATCTATATGATCTATTCATTATTAAAAGTGGGTATTGAAGTCTCCTACTATTATTATATTGTTTTCTAATTCTCTCTTCAGATCTGTTAGTATTCAGGGACTCCAATGTGGAGTGCATACATATTTACTGTTATTATCACCTCTTGATGAATTAACCCCTTTATTATTCTATAGTGATTTTCTTTATCTCTTTACAAGTTTTGATTTGTCCGTTTTTTTCTTATGTAAATATAGCTACCTCTGCTCTCTGTGTTCACCTACCTACCTACCTACTGGTGTGTCACTATCAAATGTTATTATTAAACTCTAAGTTCCTAGGGGGTAATTAATCTACATATTTCTCTTTGTATATCACTGTGCTTACTTGCAATTGTATAATATCTTTTGAAAATGATGGAAATAATAATACTGTTTTAACAATATGTTTTTTATTGATTTTTTACCTTTTCATGGTTTTTGTTTCATAGTTAAAGAATACAGTTTTATGGGTCTCATTTCTAAAAATGAACACTAGAACATTTCTAAAAAAGTGAGAGAATGGGTAGTAAGGGTCATATATTTGGTGCCAGTGAATAACTGCCAACCAGACTTCCGGTAGAAGAACATACTAAGTTCAATTGCTTTTCCTTCTCTGTTGAGAATGGGATTAAGTTAGCATTGATGGATAGAATTTCTTCCATTTCTTTTGGGGGTATTTTTGTGATCCAGATAAAATGTTGGTTAGTGACATGTAGCCCCAGCTTTTTGAATTGTCAGTATGAGAAGTTAGTGCCACCTTTGGATATGCTGGGTAAGTTCAGTTATACTTAGTGTTACTAGAACTTCTATTTAGACTCTGGTGATCAAAATATACTTGCTTAGCAGTGGATAGAGAGAAGCTTTAAATTTCTAGAGAGGAAATTCAAAGTGCTCCTAAAGCATCTGCAATATTGAGTTTTTAAATGCTATTCTAACCAACTCAGTTTTTTATAAATAAAGAAAATTCAAACTCTTGTGAAACTGATTTGTGTTTATGTGTATTTAGGAAGTACCCATTTATTTTTGACATATTGAGTTTTAATTTGAAAATAATTGCTGAGAGTCTAGCCAGAAGAGAATGGTCTTTCAATGCTTACCATTCAGTTTCTTAGGTTCCACAGGTTTAGAAATTCTCTGAATTTATTTTTACAGGTTAAGAACTCAAGCTGTCTTTAAGTCAAGAGAACTGGTTGCTGATAAAGAGCTTACTAAGCCCCGAGAGCTCAACCTGGATATGAATGGGAGTAACTCTGGACCAAGGTAAACTTGAGTGGTGGGTCAAGGCAAGAATATGTAGGATACAGATAATATATTTGGTATATATTTATAGCTCCATATTGGTGAATCCAGTTTTCTGATCACATATATTTAAATAAATACATTCTCATTATAAAATTTTGAATTATATAGAAAAGTGTAACAAAGAAAATAAAAAATATTTATATTCCTCCATTCAGAGACAATCCTTTGAGCCCCTATCTATTTTTCTTTTATAATTATACTATATTGAGTAATAGAGATTATGCTTATAAAGAATTTTACTTTTTGATTTTTTCACTGTATCTGATATCATTAAAATTTTACAAAAATATATTAATTCACTGAACAGGTATTTATAGTATGACATCTATGATTCAGTATTTATCTATAAGCTTGTTGTTGTATAATACAGGATTTTATTTTTATAAATTATGCCTTGAAGACCATTTCTGTAATGTAAATTATTTACTTTATCTGTACCTTTGTCCTTGGTATAGATTCCTGTAAGTAGACTGCTAGCTCAAAGTGTATATGACTTTAAGATTCTTGATTTACATTGACAAGTTGCTTTCCATAAATGTTAAATCAATTTACACCCCCAAAGCTATGTCCAAGAATTCTCTCTTCATGAAATTTGAAGAACTTTTGGCTATTGTTTTTTAGCTGTATGTATATTTTCCCTATTCTTTCCTCAGCTCTTTTGGGACTACATTTACTTGTATATTAGACCTTTAGAAATTACACTACAGGTTCCTGACTCTGCTAATTAAAAATATTTTTTCTTTATTTTTTATATTGAATAATTTCTATTTCTGTATCCTCAAGTTTGTTCATCAACTCTCATGTTGTTTAGAGTGATTTTCAAAAATTTCAGACATTGAGTTTTTCAGTTTTAGGATTTCCTTTTGGGTCTTTCTTATAATTTATATTTCTCTGCTGAAATTTCCTGTTTTATTCATTATAAGCGTATTTTTGAAAATACTTGTCTGCTAGTTCTAACACCTGGTTCATCTTGGGGGGTTCATCTCCATTGGTCAACTTTTCTCTTGAGTATTGGTTATGTTTTCTTGTTTCTTTGTATGTTTAGTAATTTTGGATTGTTTCTTAATTATGAATGACTCTAGAATTCAGTTACATAACGTTGACTCTAGAACAAAGTTAATTTTTTGTGCTGGCAGGCAGTTAACTTGGGTGAACTCAAATTTCAAACTATCTCTCTTGAATAAGTAGCAGTGAAAATTATTGTTGAGTTATTTTAAATTTACTTGGGATGCTTGAATCTTCCCAGTTCATATGCAGTACAAGGTCAGCCAGAACTGTCAGGGTTGTTACATAGAATTTGAGTCTTTCATTCTTTCTCTCTCTCCTCTCCAGGATTTTACCCTTTTCAACTGCTTCAGTCTACCCAGACTCTGCCCTCTGGTATTTTAAGCAAGCCCTTCAGCTAAAGGCCACTAAAAAAAAAAAAAAAAAATAAAAAAATTGGAAACTCTCCCAATGATACTGTCTTCTTTCAAGTACTGACCTTCATTTTGTTTCTGCTTGCTTTTGACCACTCTTCAGTGCCTCAAGAGTCCTTTTTTTTTTCCTCCCAGAGTTTATAGTTTGTTTCTATAGGAGCTACTCAAGCCATTTTTAGAACTAGAACCCAATACTAATTTTAGCACAATTTTGCCATAATTTCTCTTTTTAATTGTGGTAAAAATGCATAACATAAAATTTATCATCTCAACCATTTTCTGGTGGACAGTTTAGTAGTACTAAATATGTTCACTATATTGTCCACCCAATCTCTAGAACTTTTTTTTCCCAGAGTTCAGCTTTTTATTGAACATATTACAAAAGAGGCTTAGTCAAAAGACCAAAGCCGCTATCGTCATCGGACTCCTCAGATTCTTCTTTCTTTACTTCCACTTTCTTCTCCTCAGCTGGGGCAGCAGCAGTGGAGGGGACTGGACCTCCTGCTGGTACAGTACCAGCTGCTGGAGCAGGTCCACCAGCCCCTACATTGCAGATGAAGCTTCCAATACTGACATTGGCCAGAGCCTTGCAAACAAACCCGGCCAGAAAGATTCAACATTTACACTGGCTGCTTTAATGAGGGCATTGATTTTATCCTCTGTGACCATCACCTCATTGTCATGCAGGATGAGAGCCAAGGAGATTCAGGCGAGCTCTGAGATGGAGGCCATGGTGCAGGCGGTGCTGGGGAAGCACTGCTGGGTGCGGTGCTAGTCACTGCATGAAGTGAGGGCCTCGCTCCCAGTGCGGCCTCAGCTTCCTTGGAAGGACCGAGCGCCTTACCAGGCAGCTGAGGAAAGCATCCAGAACTTTTTTATGTTACAACACCCAAACTATACGCATCAAATTCCTCCCCATTTCAACCCCCCTACCAGTTTCCACTCCAGAAACAAGAAATTTTAACTCCTTTCCTTTCCTAAAGTATTTCCTCTTTTATCTGTTTCTTCTAATGTTTATATCCATATTTCTGAATAATAGATTTATGTAGGCATTAGTGTTGACTTTCTGCTAACAAAAGGATAGTTTACCTCACACAGATAACCATCTTATGGCTCTTTTTCTCTCCCTATTATTCCTTTTCTTTTCTTCTCCCTCTTTCTCTCCCCCACATTCTCTAACATATATAGTGGCACACATGCTACTTCCTTCCTTCTGTTCTCTCAATATTGCTATATCACAATATGCTTACAGTAAGACCTTAGATATTTTATACACAGCTGAGCTGCGTATTATATGATTATTAGATTTAGTTTTTATGTAATAATTTGTTTTCTTTAAAATTTAGAAATGCCTTATTTTCTATGGCCTCATTCATTTATTAAATCACTCGAATATTTATAAAGTTTCCCACCAGATGCTTGGTACATTCTAAACTTTGGGGCATATAACAGTACACAAAACACAAAACTTTCTGGCCTTTTGCAACTTATTTTTTCATGTTTTGTCATTCCCAGATTCACCCAGGAATTATAATTCTCTAAACAACTTCAGATACATTAGTTATTCTATCGTGTCTCTTCATTGCTTTCATTTGTTGCAATTTTTCCTCTTTTCTTTTTTCTTTTTCTTTTTCTTTTTTTTAAAGCTATCTTTCCTAGATCCCTTTATAATCCCTCACTAGTCTGAATTGGTTATTCTCTAGGCTCCCTGTCTAAAGATTCATCATGAAATTTCCCTTATACATCATCTTGGAAATTTTTTTACTTTTCTGGATTATAGTCCCCTTTTGTTGGGTCACATGTTGTCCTCTTTTTGGTTTATACTCATCTTTTAGAAACATGTCCTTCAATGGCTTACTGAGAAAAAGAACAAAGGCAGTAATTTTTTGAGACCTCATACCTCCAAAAAATGTCTTACGTCTATCTTCACACTTATTGTATAGCTTAGCTGGATCTAGAATTCTTGGTTGGTAATTATTTTTCCTCAGAAGAAATTGAAGGTTGTGTTTTATTATCTTCTAGTTTTTGCTACTATTGAGAAATTTGGTATAGAATCTTGTCTTTCTCTGCATTATTCTAAAAATTAATGCCAATGTTCTGGACCTTTTTTCATTTATTATGCTGAGTAATCAATGGATTCTTTCAAGTGGGAAACTTCCTTCAGTTTGGGGAAATTTTTGTCAGTTTTCTTCATTTTTTAATATTATTTTTATATTTTTTCCTTCCAGAAGTCTATTAGTCAGATGCTGAGTCTCTTGGAATCATCTCTCATTTATTTCTTTTTCTCTCCTAGCTTTCATATCTGTTCCTTTTTTTCCAGTTTCTAAAAGATTTCCTATACTTTATTTTTCAATACTTCTGTTAAATTTTTAACTGCAGTAATTTCCAAGAACACTTTATTCTCTGAATGTCTTTTTTTTTTTGTATAAGAATCTGCACTTGTTTTATATATGCAATATTTTTTTCCTATCTCTGAGGATATTAGATTTTGAAGTTTCTTTTTTCTATTGTCTCTATTTTCACCAAACTCAAGTTTCTTTCTTCCACAGATGTCTGATGATCCATTTATATTTACAAACAAAGTAGTGAGAAGCTACTGAATGCTCTTAGTATAGAGGAGCAGGGCTTGTCAACTGATAGACTTCACTGTGAGGTAATCAGGTAGGAATCCTGGCGACACTCTTTTAGTATCTGTAGGTCTTTTCTCTTGGGGTGTTCAGTTTCTCTAGGGATAAATCTTTTGCCTGGGTGGGAAGGAGGGATGGGAGCATTATGTAAACTTGCCTGCCAATATCGAGAGCCTAGTAGAGGAAGAGGACTAGGACCCAGCACGTATTATATAGACTTTCACTTAATACCCTTTTAACTATATGGTATTTCTGCCCTCAACTGTAATTTAGGTCCCCAAGATGGAAGTCATTCTGATTCAGCTTCTCCAGAGGAGTAAACTTCCAGTCTTCTCAGGGTGAGGAAAGATAGTTGACTGGCTCTAGAGATAAAGGAGGGCGTCTTGGATATTTTATTGCTATACAGACTTTTAATCAGCCATGCTTACAGTCCCCCTGC